ATTCAGAATGAAACATGCTTCCTGAAGTAATTGATTTAGCGCTGTTTGTCAGTTAGGGTCCGACATTAAGAATGTTCTGGAGGCTCTGCTCTGAAGGAAATAGCTCTAGCAAGACAGGAGAGACACAGTCATGTTCCAGTTAGAAGATCAACCTCCAAAGTCATCACTGTATAACCTATTTCTGAGGACAGGAGAGAACGTGTAAAATTGATTTTGGGGGCTAATATCTTAACGTATCTTTTATATGCAATCATGATATTTATGGAACTTCAAGGTTAACTTGGATGGAAATACAGATTATTTAGAAACACACTTGGTTGCTTTGGATTCAGTGAACAGGACCTGTCAAAAAGTTTATTAGGGAGATGTGTCTAAAATTTTGGTCAGTATACATTAAATACATGCAGTTTTTTGCATGTCACTTACACCTCACTAAAGCTGTAAAAAAAATGTAATGGTTTAGAGAAGCAGAAAACATACAGTTTTGGTCAGTTTCCATTCTTTTGATGAACAATTACTTATTGATGAGTGTCCTTGGAACATAATTTCTTATTGTGAAATATGACACACATGTACAGAAAAGTTCGTAAAATAAAAACATACACAGCTTACCTTAACAGGAATCCATCCTAGGGGGTATGTAGTGGGATCTCATGATTGTTTTAATTTGCATTTCTCTAGTTTCTAATGTGATTGAGCATTTAAAATTTTTCATTGTCTATTTGGTATCTTGCTTTGTGAAGTTGCTGTACTTTTGCTCCTTTTTAAATGATGAATTATCTTTTTTCAGTGTCTATTTATTGAAGTCATTTATACGTTTTGGAACGTACCTCTCGTTAGCTATCTGTGTTGCAAATAACTTTGCACACTCTGTGGCTTGCTTTTTCACTTCCTTAATAGTATCTCTGGATAACTGGAAATTATCCAATTACATTAAATTTTTAATTAATAAAAATTTAATATATTTTAATATCATTTTATAGGCCTTTCCCAAGGTGAAGTGAACATTTCAATTGAACTCTGATAGGCAAGCATATGCTATATGGTTTTAATCCTTTTAAATTTTGTTAAACCTGCTTTAGTGTCATTGTATGACCAATATTTGTTAAATGTTTTATGCAGGCTTGAAAATAATATGTATTTTTTGTGAGTCTAGCTTCTCATCTATGCCTGTTATCTTGTTTGCAAAGTTTATTAGTCAAAAAGTCAGGACTGTTGCGTCCTTACTATTTTTTAAATTTTATGAGTAGTTGTGTTTAATTTGCCACTGTTATCATAGGTGTAACTATTTTTCCTTGTACTGCCATTAATTTTTGCTTTATTTATTCTGAAGCTATGATGCTTGGCACATGCATACTCAAGATTATTATAACATGGGTGAGATGAGTCTTTTTTACTGTGGAGTATCCATTTTTATTTCTGATTGCTTTCTATAAGAGGATTGGTGAAAATTACTTAGCTTCCCATTTTGAGGATAAGATGTAAGTGAATGCTGCTGGAAATACAGGCCCCTCTGTCAGTGAGCATCCTGTAAAGAGAAAGAGGCAATCAGGTTAAGTGTTGAGGTAAGAACATGGTATGCTGTGCTGCACACAGGCAGCCACCTAACACAGACATAGTTGATAAGGAAGCATCCAGAAGCGGTGGCATCTGAGCTGGGTTTGGTCTTCTTCAGGGACTTGGTTTAGGGGGCTCAGCTCTTGAGCGTGGCAAGGAAACTGGAGGGAAAGGAAGGCATTCTAAATGCACAGAGCCTTTCCCAGGCGTCTGCCGTTTCAAAACATTTTCAGATGTTTGCTGTGGAGAATAGATAGCCCTGCATATGAACAGACAGCCCTGCAGTGGAGAACTGTGGGCGCCAGCCTTTGCCCATGTCCCACAGCTATCTCGTTAGGGCAGGTTCCCTGAAAGAGAGTTACTGCAGCAGGAGCTGCGGACACTTTTCTGCACAAAAGGTGGGGAGCCTCGAGTTCAAGGTCATAGGAGGCTTTTAGAAATAAGTTGCAGTGGAGCCACATTCTGAGGGCTGGTGAGGAGTTAGGATGAAGGTGAAGCATGTAAAAGCCTGGGGAGGGGTCTCCTGTGCCCAGAGGAGGGTGGAGGGAAGGGGGGGCACTTCAGTGTGGGGTGGCTGACTCACAAGGTGTGGGGAGTGAGGCTGAAAGAGCGGACTTATGTGTAAACTAGGTTTATACTTGATGCCATTAAAGAGGCTTAGTTAATCAAATAATGTAAGGTCCTTCTTCTTGCCTTTGAAGTTCATCTAATCCGTTTGCAACATATTCCTCCAATCATTATAACAGTTATCTTTCGTACACCAGAACTTTTCTTCCATCTCCCCGGGTGTTTTTAGCATCTGGAATGTATCCCGTTTCCTCTCCATTGCCCACCATCGTACTAAGTCTTGACAACTTCCCTTTACTTCTTTCCTATTCTTCTCTGTCCACATATTCTCAGAGGGTTCTTTTAAGTCTCAGCCCAGCTCCCCCACTTACTAGCTGTGTAATTTCCGACAAGTTACTGAACCTCGCTTTGTCTCGGTCGCCGCATGAGAACCTCAGCGGTATCCACCGCGGGTTGTGGGAATTAAAGGAGCTCACGTGTGCAGAGACACTGGTGTGTCTCTCTGCAGCACGACAATGATCTCCCCTCCACCGAGAGTATCTACCTTCATCCAGGTTGAAAATGCCTTTTGCTACCATTTAGGGCAGTTTGAAGCAGCTTGAAAAAGGAAAACCAGAGAGGAGCCTTTCTCCTGGGATTCTCCTGGGAGCCTTCTCTTAGTGGTGGCTACTCTCATCTAGGGAACAAGCGCAGGCTGGTGAGAGCGCCTCACCTTTCTTTGATTGCTAGATTTGAGAATAAAACGAGGAGCCCAGATTTTAAGGCTTTCCATTCATCGGCTTTTACATGCCGGAGACACACTGCATTTTAATGTCAAAATAGCATCTCTTTCCTTCTCTTTGGTCCCTCTTGCCTTCTTTCTGCTCAGCCTCTATCCTCCATCTTTCCCTTCCTCCACGTCACAAAAAAAGAATCCAAACTCTGGTCAGTTCAGATCCCAAAAGATCACGGCAGGCTGACTAATTTTGTCCAGACTTTCTGTGAAAGCACCCCATGTGCTGTAGTTTTGGGTCGCATAATTGATTTAATCTCTGATTTTAGAGGAACGCTGAACTCTTTTTGTGGGACTCTGCAAACATTTCTCTAGGGCAAAAACTGTCCTACTTTTTTCTCTCTGGTATCTGTTTAGTGCTAGGCCATTTTTCTCCCCCCACGAGTCTAAACTACCCTCCGTGAAATAAATGAAATCACAGTTGGAAAACGGCTTACTGGCCAGACTTATAACCTCCAGATAAGAGCTACACCACACACATTTTCTTAAACATTCTCCTCCTCCCCTGCGTCCCTTCTTTCTGCTCCAGCACATCTTTGTTTTGGCTAAAAATATACATTAGTCATTCAGCTGAGGATTGGCGTCACCTCCATGGAGCCACAGTGGACCTTCGCATTTCACTGGGAAAGCACAGGCAGTGGGGTCTAATCCTTGCATGCCCAGTGACCTGCTGTGTGACTCCAGTCAGATTTATTTACCTCTCTGAGACATGACTTTCAACAATCCCTTGTAGACCAATGGCTGTGAAGGCTGGACTATGGAGACAGGTAGGTAGTAAGCTGGAAACTCACACCCTGCCTTTGGCTAACCAGGTCTGCCTGGGGTGACAACTGGGGAAAATGATTATATGCCCCCCGAAAGACCACTTAACCAAAAGGACAACCAGGCCATTTTAAGTTTACTATTTACTTTATACCGTATTTGGCAATCTCATTTTGGGTTATGTTTTTAGAAATTTCTAGCTGGAAAGTTCTGCTTGAAAGAAGATGCATTTTGTCAACCTCTCTGATCCAGGATGTAGTTTGGAGACAATCTTCTCACTAGTTCCTTCTTTAAAAATCTAATGCTTTGTAATGTGTTATGTGCTTTAAGATATGTTTTCCGAAGAAAATAATCTTTGTTTGGTCCGTACTCTCTAACACAATTTCAACAATTTCCCTGAACAATTCTCAGACCTTGAAAGTGGCCCAACTCTGCTGTTTACATCAACAAATTAAGCTCAGAAGTAATTCCCAACTGCTGTTTGAGTATCCCAGCCTGAATGGATTGTGTCCTTATGCTGCTAAAAAAAACTTTAGGCTTAGATAATACCCTATTAGTGTTTAATAAAACCCTTAGAATAAACAGACAATTGTTCAAAGTCAGACTGCTATTTACTAGTTGGATAAACTTAGATGAGTCCTTTATTTAACCTCTATGACTCATTCTGTATGAATATGTAGCACTGAGTTAAGAATCATCCTTACTTCTCTTGGATGCGTTTTGAGGATTTAATTGCTAAAGTGCATGTAATGTGGGGATCCAACCATAAACTGGGTATCAGTCAGATTTTGCTGTAATAGTGTTGTGTAACAAATAACCTCCAAGTCTCAGTAGCTCACAACAACAGATTTTTATGCCAGACTTCATTCCAATTCATGTGGTCTATTCGGGTCTGCTGTGTATGTCTCTTCCTTTAGGCCCTAGAGGCTGTTTAAGGAATTCTCCTTTCATGGCAGAGAACATCATTGCAAGCTAAACTGGTAAAAACTTGCCAACCATCTTAAAGTATCAACTCAGGACTGGCATTACTATCACTTCTACCCAAATGTCATTGACCAAAACAAGTCATGTGACCAAGCTAAATATTAGCAGGTCAGGAAAGTATACTCTGCCCTAAGGAAGGAGAGTGAATTTTTACTAAACAGTAATCTAGTCTCCTTCAGAGAAGTTTAGTGCATCTATTCCCCCCTCCCACTTTCTTATTTCCTCTCTGCAACGTTGGCTCTTCTTCCTCTAGTCTACGTTATAGCATCTACTTTGCATTTCTCAAAATTACACCACAATTTTTCTCTCTTTTTAAATTTCACACTAACTTACATGACATACTTTTCTTGGTAAACAGGTACTTTAGAAAATCCTTTAGAAAAAGAGAAAAAGCTTCTGATTCTCCTTAGAGCTTCGGAGGGAGTCTTCTGTGACCGTTTCAATGGAATTCGTGTTGATCCAGGAACAATTGGTAAGAGTATAATGAAGTTTTTATTAAAAATGAAAAGTATATTTCTGATAGAGAAGCCCCATTCACAGGACACCTTCTAAATTCCAGGCACTCTTCTAGGTCATTTATATTTATGATTTCACTCACCAGTGCTCCTGTAAGGAGTATGCATTTTACAGATGTCAAAACTAAGACTCAGAGATGATGAAAAATATGCAGAAGGTTACACAGTTTTATAGTGTCAGAACTTAGATTTATGTCTGGATTGGTCAGACACCAAAGCCTGGACAAACAGGCTGTGTTAGCAACTATAAATACTATGTGGTTATTGATACTTTTTAAAAAACTATCTAGATTACTAAGAAACGTTGACTGTTGACAGTTTCCTCATTTGATGCTGCCTCATTACCAAATCTTATTTTAAAACTGGCCCACACAAGAGCACAGAGCCTGGGGCTGGGCTTGTATGACTATGGTGTAAGAGCTACACAGTAACTTAGTTTTAAGGAATAGGTATAAGAGGCTTTTGGTCAGACTTCTAGTATTTTCTTATTCTCCCTGTATGGCATTACTAATTTGATAAGGTCGCAGTGACCCAGTAAGATGGAAACAGTCATGTTAGGATAGTGTGAAGTTTGGTAACCTGGTTTCATAATGTATAGCCATATAATGCCATTACGTTGATAGTGCTTTATTATTTCCAAGTGATTTTTCATTTATGCTATTTATTTTATCTTTTTAAGAATACGAGATTAAGGAATATTTTACTTTTTTCAAGTTGGCAGACTAGATGGATCACCACAGGAACACGAGTTCTTTTTGCCTGTGGTGTCCACTCTGTTCCAGGAAGTGCCATGTTGAATTAAACTTTGTGTTAGGAGTGTGGGAGGGTGACTGTCTTGATCCCCAACTCCAGCCATTTGGCCAAGCAAGTGTTTTTGAAATTTTCTCAGATACTAAACTGAATAAGCCATGAAATATTTGTCTCACTGCACGCTTAAAATTGTGTGATTTCATAAGTACATGACACATTTTAATCTCTTCAAGTATTATAATCTCCTTGAAACAGCTAAGCAGTGGTGTCATTTTACAGTAAACTTTTGGTGATTGGGAATGATGAAGAAATCTGCTTTCTGGTAAATTAAAGGAAATAAACTGGTTTTTGTTAACGTTGGAAATGTTGTTGTTGGAAATGTCTCTAAATTACTTTATGTCCCTCCCCTGTCTAGGCTACTTAGCTAATCGTCAAAAAGATTAAAAAATTTGATGATGATGATGCTTTATAGAATATATACCTATGTATATGAAACCATTCATGAAAAATTGATTCCAGGACATGTCCTAAAACTGAGAGCATTTTTCACATTCCCATTAATCCTTCTTGTAGTTTTATTATCTTGTGACTTTTTGCTGAAGTCGAGTATGGAAAAAATTATGGATGTTGGCATAAGCAGTAGATAAGGTTCTGATGACTCGAGCTTTTTTAGTTCTCATTGGATGAAAACCCAAGGCATATTATTTATAGCTGCCTGGTGTTTGCTTCTCTTGTTTATACATTTTCTGCTAAAAATTGTGAAATCTTTAGATTTCAAGATTAGTGATTTGCAATAAAACAGGGTTTACCAATCTGTGGGTATGAAGATGACGAATGTCTTTGGGTGCAGGAAGAAAATATTAGAACTTCTATTCAAACACGTATGAATATATTTATTTGTATGTATGTTTCTTTATCTAAAAACAAATGAATAGACATGTGTTAGGAGTGC